TTTTTTTTTTGGGGGGGGGGAATCCTTTTTACGGATTCTATGCATAGATGTTGGCCCGGATATGTGGTGACTCGACGCAGCGTCATACTAAAACTTAACGCTGACGCCCCTGCCCACTAAACCCTAAACCCCTTTCTTTTCTATCCTCTGATCCCCCATGGTACCGCCGTATGGCATTTCTTCGCGGGGGGAGGAATTAGCTGCCACTCTTCCTTCTAGTGGCTAAGATGTTTTTTCTTCCTTCTAGTTTCTGTCATTTGCTCTTTTCCTCTCAATGGATCGAACTCGGTAAAGCACTTTTGTAGCAAAAGTGCTTGTGGCGTTCCAGGCAGCTTCTGATGACAGCATTGCTGCTACTATTATCTCTGGTTGGATTTCCTCTTCAGGATATTCTCCAGCTCATCCCGATGTGGGTAAAAACGCGAGCACTCAAAGAAAACGTGCTCTGCATCTTCATTGACTCCTGGTGTGTGTGTGTGTGTGTGTGTGTAAGTATGTAAACCTCTTATAACTTTTGAACGGTTGAACCGATTTCATCGCGGTTGGTGCCATTTGAAAGGGCTCCACTAAACTTAGATTTTCTGAAAATTTGAACCGATCCGGACCGATAGATTTTGAGAAATTTAGAGAAATCTCCAAAAAAATAGAAAAAAATTTTTTTCAGAAGTGGTTTTTTAGGAATAACTTTTAAACGGCTCTACCGATCGATTTCAAAAACTAATCAGCTCTCAACCTTAAAAAACCACGTCGATTGCCGCCAATCCGGTCAAAATCGGTTGATTCGTTCAAGAGATATCGTGAACGAAAAAAAACCGAAAAAAGTGTTTTTTCGGAATTACTCCGAAATTTCTAGTTTAACCAATTAAAACTTAAGAATTCTTTATGAGAATTAAAAAACTGCGTAGAATGCCGCCAACCGCGTGAAAATCGGTTCATTCATTCAAAAGTTATTGCGATTTGAAAATAAAAAAAATAGTGTTTTATCAAATTTCTATCAAACTTTTGAGCTTGAAGAGCTCAAAAGCATACAAAAGCTATTTTTTGAGCTCGGAGAGCTCAAAATAATACACAAATTGTATTTATGAGCTCAAAGAGCTCTAAAACGTCATAAGTGCAATTTCAAGCGTTTAGGTATAGAATTGGCGGGAAGTTGCAGGGATGGCTTTCAGGGTCAACCGTATTTCTAATTTTTTTTTTATTGTCTCAGTAGAAGGAAAAATGTCCAATTTTTTAAACTCTTGATGCATGAATTGAATCCACGTTGTAAAAATTTTAGAGAGATATCCAATGCTAACATTAAATCGATAGCTCATATTAGCAAGTAATAACCCAGAATGTAATCGAATTAACGTTAGAAAAAGTTGATTTTTTAATGAAACTTTTGTTTGTGTCCGTGACGATTCACGATTCGTTTTAGGTTCAGTAGTAAGCCACTTTCTCAATGATTCAGCAGCAGGAGGTCCCAGAAATTCCCATAAAGTATCAAAATCTTCTGGCTTTAAACCAGTATAATATTTAAATTTTTTGACATTATTCCGACATGAATCGACATCGAAGGCTTCACTCTCTAATTTTTTCTCCAGACATTCAATGCACTTTTTTAATTGTTTAACTTCCGTATCTTCTTCTGTTTGACTGTTAGCATCACATGTTGAAACTGTTTGCATAGGTGGTTCAACGACGCGCTCTGCATTATTTGGAGTTAAAAAATTATTATAATTTTCGGGCTCAGAGCTTAAATCAATATTTAATTGAATTTCTTGATGACTATTAGCATTTTTATTATCAGTTTGTCCAGTGATTAATTCATCATCAGTAGCAGTGAAACAGGTAAGTTTCTGACGTTTATTCTTTCCAGTGCTTGAGTTCTCATCAACACATCGTTGCTGTCTTTTACGATCTTTAGGAATCTAAAAAAAATTATTCAATAATTTAAACCACAAAATTTCATATTTTATGCATGATTAAAGAGAAATTTTAGTTGATTATTTATAATTAATATTGATAATATGCAAACAAATATAAAATATAACCTCATTAAATAAACAATTACTAACCTTTGAAACTGTCGCTGGCAATGGATTAGGATTTTCCGCTGTTGGTCCATTTGAATTAATAAAGTGTTTTGTACAAATATAAGTATGTTTCTTTATTTTTTCAACTGTTAAATCTGCTTTTCGTGATAAGTGAATCCACTCCAAACACTTTTTTTTGTCAATTTGTGGTTTTATAAAAGGCACGAATCTTACACCATCCTGCTTGTACCGACTATCAGACGTACAATTAGCGAATGCACAATGTTTTGTAGGCATGATAATTTTTTTTTTTATTTTTTTGATCACAATATTTATTTATTCTAATATTAATAAGACGTACATTTAACGTTGTTGTCAATAGAGAAATCAAAACATATGTACCCCCCCCCCCCACCGGTGCTGCCCCTAGCGGATCTTTTTTAATCTTCCCAGAAAAAAGGCTAATTGATTAATTTTTGATAAGCTTTAAAGTATTAAAAATATTATTTCCACTAATGTGCGCACTCTGACTGTGAAAAAAATCATTTATATCCCTTTATTTATTAATAATGACTACTTTTTCAGAAAGTCAATATCATCTACAATACATAATTTATTAGAAACAACAATATAATAGTTACATTTAGCTAGATTCACATTAGTTCCTATTCAACAAATAATGTACACAATTTTTGTCACTTGCATGAATGGATATCATATATCGGCCGTATTTTGTAAAAGATTGCACGAAAACCAAAAACCTTGTGGGTGTAAGTACTAAAGGCATAACTTTTATTTACTTAGGTTACGAAAATATACAATTTCTTCTTTGTAGAGTCGAATTTCTTTAACAATGTAAGACTCAGAAATAAAAATGATTATTTTGAAGTGATAATATTAAGAGCTAAAATTTTGAATACGTTTTTTTTTTTAATTCCATGCCTAATGAAATCCAGAAACAATCAGCGGAGGTCACGGTTTAAAAAAATATTCATCATCAGAATGACCCACATACATTGCAGCAATCGGAAAAGTCTAAGATTTTAACTTAATAAAATTTTTAAATAAAATAAATAATATAGTTTTAAGATATGAAACTATGTATTTTTAAAAACAAAATCACGATTCTGATTTTTTAATAGTTTTGATGTGCGTGAAGTAAATTTATTCAATAAATTTTTTAGAAACTTGATTAAAATTTTTTTTTGTTGCTGTTGAAAAACTTATTTGTTAGAAATATTGTGCAAAACAAAATGAAATAATTATAATTTTGTCTAGTAAAACTTGAACGGTTGGCGGATTTATAGATACGATTTTCAAGCAGTATTTTCGAGCTTGACAAGTTCAGAAACATATGTCCAAGAATATATATATAAGTTTCGTGAGCAATTAAACTCTTAATTAGTGAGTTTAATAGTTTATCCTTACTCATATGAAATTTTTTACGTTGATAGACATAGATAAAAATAATATATATGAACAATTTTTAATGCCATAGGCACAGAGAAATCGAAACACCGGCCCTGGCACTTGGAATGCGGGCGCGGCGTACAATCGCTTGGCAGCATGTGTGCGTGCAATAGCAATCAACGATACATTGCCACTTACATACACACAATATAGTAAGCAAAGGAATGAAGACGATATATACATTATACAGTCGAATCATCTTGATACTCATTTGACATCTACTTGCACAATTTTCGAATGCCGGTTCCGAAAATTAAAAATATCTACTGGCATTATTTAATTGATATTACTATTATGCGATGTTAGTGAATATAATTCTGAAATAAAAAAATGGGCATATGTAATGTAATGAAATAAATATAATTAAATTTACCTATCCCTGGGATCGATCCAAGTAGTTTTTCTGGTATTATGATCAATGAAGTATACTTTTCCATCAAAATCTTGAGCAACATCCCACCCTTCCGGAAGCGGTATTTCCCCATTTCGTCTCCTTGGCATATTTTACTGCACTCTAAATCCATTAAAAAAATATATATACATATATATTTATAAATAAATAAATCTAAAAAATAACACTATCATCAACCAGTTTTCCAACAAACATACGGAATTTAACGAGTGAGACAGAGAGAAAGGTAAAGGTGGTGGGAGATTAACTTGCACATTTGTAACCATACATTGGTGTACACAACACGTGTACACGCGGTCTTATTAACATTCACATATACAATCACATCACATAACATTACATACTCTTTCTTACGACGGGTTGTACTAAGTTTTATAAAGGCAAAGGCAAAGGCAAAGGCAAAGGCAAAGGCAAAGGCAAAGGCAAAGGCAAAAGGCACGGAAGACGGATAGATAAATAAGAGATATGTCGAGAAAGAAAAGGACAAGGACCAGATGAGGAGGAGGAAGCAACACATCACTGAGAGGGATACTCTCTATACACTCTTACTACTCCGCCATCATGAATACCTCATTATCATGAGCGGAGTGACGTCAGAGTCCCCGCCTTCAGATTCTTCTAGAGCGGAATTCCACCATTAACATTGCCGGGATATACACAGAGTAGATAATATATAAAGAATGCGAATGAGTTAGAAAGGGAAAGAATTAAAGAGAGAGAAAGATAAAAGAGCGTGTGCGGATCTCTCACAAAACGATCCAACACACCGATGCAAAAACCCCGGAGGACACTTGTCTTACTTGCTCAGTCTTCCTGCACTTTCGGTTCCCGTGTTGCACTTTTATTTATTTTTATTTTTATTATTTTTATATCGTGCACTTTATCACTTCCCGGTAAATTTATTCAAGATTCCACTCACTTCACCACACTTATGCACTGCATTCTCCTATTATATTATTTCCCATCAATTATATTATTGTTAATTCTTCTTTTATACTCATTCTGAATATCTCCTCCATTTGTTTTTATCAACCTGCAACATACGAGTAATTTTAGTTAATGACAAATAAAAACCATATTAATTTTTTTTATTTAAAACTAATAAACTAATAAATAAATTATGACACCACCACACGTCCTTGTCATTGATAGTTAATTATTATATTAAATTAATTTTCTTTTTATTATTTAACAGTATCAAATAGAAGCATTGCACTTGGTATATAATATCCAAAGCTTCACATCACTAACCTCTATTCTAGATCATTTAAATTCATCATATTTTAGAGTATTAAAAAAATAAATAACAAGATAAATATACATGTAGTATATACATACGTACACTTTTTACAAAATCCACGCACTGTCACTTGAAAAACTCGTTCGAGTAATCTTGTTTCCACAAGTGTCTCTCAAGGAGACTCTTTCACTGTCAAATGTGAACCATTTAGATACTAAATAAAAAGCACTTACAAGAACAAATAACACTGACAATAAACTCTTGGAGCATCGCAAACAATAATATTAGATTATAAATAAACAAACTTATTGACACCTGCAGACAAGTTGAGAAGATGATAAAACTGAGAACAGAACATACTACACAATATTCCTATCAGTCAGCACCAACGGACATGGCAGATTGGCAGGAGTTCGAGACATGCCTGAACGTTCAATGCCGTACCAACCAAGTATCTCTCTCTTTTCCACCACTTTTCTCTCTACTCCCTTCTCACTTACTCTATTCTACTTTATTCCAGTCCTATTAACTTTTCTCTCTTTAGCTGAAACATTTGTGTCATATTATCTCACTTACTCTAGGTATTTACGTTCAACCCCACTGTTTTTCTTGTCTCTCGTACTCTTGTGTCTCTGACCGCTGTGCACGAACATCCGCGGGAATACACGACATTATACGAACAATCAGCTTCATGTCCTTTCTCTAACTTGCCCAGAGTTTCGCATATTTTCTACAACCTAAAAATAGTAGCGCCACCGTCCATTCAATTTAATATTTTATAGGCTTATTTACAGTCGAATCCAAGTGTTGCACTAGTACATACTCCTCAACCAGCATCAACATCAACCAACTCAAGTAATGTATTTCAATGTACATACATCAAACATCAAAAGGAAACTTTTAGCAGTGTATGTACCAAAGAGAAACAGAAAGAAGAAATTAACTGTCAAAATTGGGATAACGAATAACGATAATAACGACATCTTTCATACTATTCTATAAATCTCACCTGGCATGCGGCGCGTGTCAATTTATTTATTTATTTATTTATTTATTTATTTTCTTAAATCTCCAGCTGCCCTTGAACCACGCACATTCTATTGAAATGGTTAAAATCCAAGGAAATGACAAATCATCACCAGAAGGCCGTCTTTAATTATATGGTGGGAATAAAGGAATGTTATACGTACTGAATATATTTTTTTAGTGAGTATTTAGAATTGGAGCTTTACCTATTTTTGGATCTAAATAAAAATCGAAACATTTTTTCATGAATGCAATATTTTTTTTTTTTTATTCTTTTAAACTTTATTTTGAAAATTTAAAAGTTAACGATTTGGGAAATTTTTCCGAAAAATTTTGTTGACGTCATTTTTTTTTTTTCTTAAAGAACATAAAAAAAGAGAATTAAGAAAAAAATTAATTTATATCAGTCAGATTTGTTAAATTCAATTTTGACAAAAAATCATAAAAGCACATTTATTCCATTTTCTAATTTGAAGTTCGGAAAAAAATATCAAGATTTAAATGTCAAATTTACGAATCGTTAAGAAACGTTAAAACTGGTAATTTGTCGATTTTTTTTTATTCTCAAAAATAGGTAAAGTTACAGTTCTGCACAATTACCCCGTTTTTTTTTTTTTTTCGACTTATGTGACGACTGTTTAATAAATCCAATAAAAATATAGAAAAATAAACGGGAATTAAATAAATGTTATATGTTATTGTTACTAATGATTATTTTAATAATTTTATCGCCATTATTAAAAAAAAAATAATTAATTAAAAAAATCAAGAAAGATGTCATGTAACAAAATTAAAATTTCTAGAAAGTATTATTAGTTGCACAAACTGATATGTAATGAATAATGAATTAAAAAAAAAAAGTTATTTAACTATCGTCTTGGTACTGCAGTCCTATAATGATACATGTTTAAGAAAATCGCATCAAGAGACTTTCTTCTGTATTTTTTTAATTGAAAATTTTTACTTGACTTAACACCTTTATTCACTACACAGACGAATTACAGTAAATAAATCAAGAATGTGGTATAAAATATAACACCTTCTATACGTTGCAAATAATCGAGAACAATCTGAAATTATTTTTCTTAAAGATGTTACGTATAAAAATTTTGTATTTCCTAATTATTTAATAATCATAATATTAAAATTATTTCAGTGTAAAATTATTTATTATAAAAGTTAATACATAAATATGCAAAAAAATTAAAACTCGAAGAAATGTGACGTAATACTTTCATCCACTTATGATTTTAATTATTAAAAAAAAAAATGTGAAAACTAAATTGTTTGTAATTTTATTCTATTAAAATATATTCGTTATATTTATCACTTTATTTTTGAATACGTTGAATATGATTTAAAAATTAAATTAAATTGTCAAAATTATGTGTAATTTACATTAAAAATGTTTTTTTTTTTATTGATAAAAAATATGAAAGAAAATTTTAGTTTAAAAATTAAACGCTCTAGTAGCTACTGTTAAAAGAAGCCATATAAATGCTTCAGTTGCACATTATTTAATTGATAATTATCTTGAATTATAATCAAAGAAATCTAAATTTCTATTAGTATAGGAATAATTCCATCATTTAAGTATTCTATTCGCTCCGTGCGCAAAAATACCAATACAATTTCATTAAGCGTGTAACGTATTCATGCATACTGACAGCGCCACCAAGAAGGGCGATCCGCGTTTTTGAACTCTGTAAGGACACTACACCTACACACAAACACACTTACTTTCAAGGTAGTATTATATTATGCGCACTGAGCCAATGTATATTCACCGTTTTGATTAAATGGTAACTTTATTTTATAAGAATTTCAAAGTGACCGACGATAGTTACATAAGTCAAAAATTATTGACACATTATAATAACTTAGAGGTATATGTGTGTGACATATATGTATGTTTTAGACCATTGGTGCTATACATTCATTCGGACCAGGAGTACTTCAGCATAAATTGTTGCAAATACAATCATGCTTATAAATTTTATATCATACATACTTATACAATTTGAAATTTTTCATCCAGTGAGAATCAATTCAAACAATTGTGACGTTAGACTCTGATAGGATGACAATTTTGCTCAAAATATGTCCAATTTCCGTTCATTCCTACTGTCTGTAAGAATAGTTGAATATCGATACTAGCCTCATTTGTTCTTAAAAATTGTTTCATAATTTCTTACAGTTGATTAATTACTGACGGTAAAATTTTATTGGTGAAAATGATTAAATATTAAGTTGTCAACTTGACTCAACACACTACTCCTCGTCAGCGTTTATTACTCAATGTTTTTGTATCAGTATACGTACATACATACATATATTTACATACCTATACGTAAATATGTGTATGTAAATACCTCTAACTTACATACTTGATGTTCATCACGTGATTTTCTATTTATCTCCAACATATTTATATAACACGTTCAGATATTTCATAAAAATGTACCAAATAAAAAAAAAAAACAATAATCCTGAATAATAACAAAACAGTAGTGCAAACATTATAGATCATTTTTTCATATTTGAAATTAATTAATTGTTACGCATAACATATAATTATTATCATCATCAATATCCATTGTCGACTTGAAGTACATATAATTCCGATGGCGACCTCCGACAGTGATAATTTTGAAAGTGCTGATGAAGAAATAGAATTTCGTGATATATTGCCTCCAAAATCTTCAACAGAACGGGTAGCTAATTCAACAATTAGTTCTGACTCTGATGATGATGCTTGTGTAACGTCAGTTAAACAAAATTCATGGAGCTCTAAAATAAATAATAAAAATTATGACAATCTAACAGATGCTGATGACACGTCAAATGTTTACAATACACTGCACAATAAAACTGGCCAAGAATCAAAACAACGAACTGTTACAATTGAATCATCATCTGTTTCAAATCCATCACTACCCAAATATTTGACAGATGATAATCAACAAAAGGGATCAATTTCTAATCAACAGCAAATAGTTACTGAAGATGTAGAAACAGATAATATTGATAATATTGTTGAAAAATTAAACAAGACTGAAATTAATAAATGTGATACCATCATCAAAGATGCATCATTAGACAAAGTAAATAATGTTTTGTCTCAAGTTTATACACTAGATAATACAGATAAAAAAGTTAATAAAAATTCTGACAAAAGAAAAAATACAGAGATCCAAGAAAAATCAAAAGAATCTTCCAAATCTAGAAGCTCTGGAGTTAAGAAATTAGGATCCAGAATAGGATCTTATAATACTAAACGAGTAACTAAAGAAGTTGATTTTTCTTATGTAGAAAGTAAAAAATTTGAAAAGGAAGGAAACATTTTTTCAAATCAAGAATGTTTTGAACTAGATGATGATGGAGCAACAAAAATCTTGGAACGTGAAAGTTCTAATCATTTTCCAGCAAATTCGTGGCATAAATCAACTGGTAAATCTTCTTCGATGGATGAATTAGTTGAAGTACCGCCAGAATTAAAATCTAATAAAAAATTTAAAGAAGTGTTTGGGGCTGGTGATTGGGAGGATCTCAGCGATTCAGATAAAATAATAAATGAGTTTGATACTGAAAATTTAAAACCTGTTCTTGATAAATTAACAACAACGAGCGAAGAGAAGACCAACGTAGCTAGTGGAGGCTGGGGAAGTTGGGGTAGTTGGGGTGTTACGACTTTGCTGAATACCGCTTCTGTAGGAGTTTCAAATCTAACCAGTCAGGTGTCATACGGTCTTTCTGTTCTTGAAGAAAGTATTAATGCTCCAAGTACAACGGACCATAAACAAAAACAAACATTAAATGAAAAATCTGTTGGTAAACTATTTTTTATTTTCATCATAGGAATAAATTTTACTATTGGAAAAATAATATAAAATCATTGTAAAGAAATGAACGATATTTTTTAATGTATTTTGACAATTGTTAAAAATTTATGGTTGAAAAGCAAAAGATACTCTTTTAAATTTTTTACTAAGATACAGCTTTTCAAAAATCAGTAAAAATGAAAGAAATTTTTCTGTTCCTTCAATTGTTTCCAGTAGTATATGTATCATTATTAATTTAGCTATAAAAAAATGTGTATATATGCATTTTTTTTATGTTACAGAAAATACAGAAGATTCAACGGAGCAAATGTCATTGAACTTCAGTAATTTAATATATGGAGTCTCTTCAATAACAAAATTAGTTGAGAATACAGGTACTAAAGTTATAAATACTGGTTTAGGTACTCTAGAAACAATTGGAAAAAAAACTATGGAAGTGCTTCAAGAAGGTGATCCTGGTTTAAAAAAGAAAAGAGCATTTTTCATGAATGAAAATAATAAACCTATCTTGTCACATATTTTAAAAGAAGCTAAAGAAAAAGCTCTAAGCGAACAGAAAACTTTTGAAGAAAAAGAACAAGCCAAAAAGGTTCATTTTGAAAGCTTGTTTGATGATTTTCAAGGTCTTATTCATTTAGAAGCGCTGGAGATGCTGTCTAAACAAAGTGATATGAACATTCAACAACGATTAATTGCTCTAAATGCAGAAGAAGCTATTTCTATTCAAGAAACCTTAGATGAAGTTAAAGAGCTTTGTGATTTGGGAGACGAGAATGATCATGAAGAAAATGATAACGACAATTTGGAGGAAAAATTAAAAGCTCTCTGTGCAGACCTTAATATTACTCTTTCATTTGATGAATTATTTAAGGTATTTAATTGTTCATTTTCATTTGATATAAGAATACTTAACATAAATTAATTTCATATTTGCTATTATTATAGATTCGGAAAGAGACACAAAATTACATAACAAATATATCACAGCCAGAATCGACAGTGTCTGATCGAGAAATTTTTCAAAATGCCATTTCAAATTTGGCACAATTTACCGCCTACTGCATGGAAAGATTTCATAAAACTGCTGAACTTATTCTTATAAAAGATCGGCGCAGTACAGTTAATGAAGCTGATGCACTTGTACAGTTAACAGTACTTTTATCTCAGCAAATCGGAGTAATTTCAAATCTATTTTGCAAGTGTCTTAATGAACGGGCTCAAAAATCGGAGAAATCAAATGATTCTGTTGACATTACAACTATTTTTCTAGAAGTAAGTTCACCAGTTAATATTAAATGATTAGATTAATTAAATTATATAAATAAAATATTAATATTTTATATTTAATTTAGGCTACTAATGCTACTTCATATATAAAAGAGGCATTTCAACTTTTCATTCCCATTCTCCAAGTTGGCGCTATTTGATGAAATGAAAACTTTATCACTTGCAAGTGATATACCATGGTATAGAAGGAAAAAATTTTATTTTTGTAAATAGTATATTTGTTCTAAAATTTTTTTTTCCTATAAAATTTTAGGCTAAAGAATTTTCTTATATAAATTATAGAAAAAAAAATCCAACTTATATCAACATATTCAAAAATTTTTGAGTATTCATAAATATATCATGATGATAATTATAAAAAAAATAAACAAGATTTTAAATTAAGATCATTAATTTCCATTTATAGAAGAAATAGTTTTTTTTTTTTTTTTTTTAATTTTTCTTATTAATATTGTCATATTTACTTTAAAAAAATACTTTAATGAATTGTCATTAACATTTTAGTTTTTAGTTACTTTTATTCTTTAAAAATATTAGAATGCAGTCGTAACAAATATTTTCAAACAAATTTTTATCTAAAAACACGTGTTTAATTCATCATAAACATTCACAATAAAGCATATTTTCATTAGAATTTTTAAATTCATCTAATCAATATGCCCTTCATTTATATCAGTGTTTTCCACGTTTATTACCAATTGGTGGTTTTTGTAATTGAAAGCATGAAGTTGATTCATTTGTAGACAACGGTGCAGTCAAATTCAAAGGCGGATTAAAATTTAAACTTGCTGTTGGCGGTTTCATTGAGTTATTTATTGAAATATTCGTCGCAGATGGTAGTGTCGATCCCCAAACTGAAAAATAAAAATCGTTAGTATAATTATAAGTCGCAATTTATATTAGTATTAAATGAAATTGTTTTTTATCAATAAAATGTTGAATTTTAAAAACTGAGCTTTATTTTATTGATTGATATATCGTTAGTCAATTGATTAACCATTCAATTTAATTTTTAAAAATAAGAATAAGGAATATATTGCGTTACTATTTATAAATTAAACCAATAATAATGATGACGTATTAAAGCACTCAAAGTAAGTCATTACTTTCATTGTTGAAAATATAAAATACAATTATATCAATGAAAGAAATTCACGAAATATACTGATAACTGATAAGATTCAATTATGTTGAATTTTAAAAATTTAGTACGGTAAAAATTCGGCTATATTATGAGGAATTTATCTTTAATTGGTTACATCTAGAATTATACAAAAGTGATTGTCTTAGAATTTAGATTTCAACTCTCAATGGTTTTTTTTTTTTTTTTTATTTATCGACATATAAGTAAATTAAAAAATAAAATATAAATTCACTGTTTTAGCTGGGTATTAACATCAGACGAAATACGGACTTCATAATTAGTAATGTACTACTCAGTGTTTTGCATATTCTTACTTTTAAAAATTAAATGATTTTTAAAGATGTGAATGAAACAATAAAATGTGGTGCTTAAACGTTATTGATGAATGGAAGCATACAGACCGTAATAAAAAAAAATTATCACCACAACCAAAAAAAATTTGATAAAACCAATTTTGCACACTTCAAACCAGTCGATATTACATTAAAATTGAAATTAAATTTAATCGAATGATAATGTTAAAATTCATAGTTAAACTATGTAGTTATTTTTTATAAATTCAATTTCTCGGCTGTTCGATAACAGTTTTCAATCTCTAAATTCGAAGTGTGCAAAAAGTTTTTCGGTTCTTATTTTATTATGTAAGTTACAACTTAATTATTTATTTTCTTTTTAGTAATTATTGAAAAATTATTAAAAATCAAAACGTTAATACATTAATGATTATCTCCTAATTTAAAAAAAATAAAATAATTTACTAATTAACATTCAATATTTTTTTTTTATTATTTTAAGCTTGTGTGTGTAGCTACAATTAAATGAATAAAATAGTGGCAAAAAGTTCAATACCTCAATAACTACAATACGCCTTTTTTAATTTCCTGCAAAGGCAAAATTATAGTATGAAACAACTTATTAATTAAACTATTAGATTAATATTATAGAATTTAAAAAGTCGGCCAACTCAAGTTAAAAATATGATTATTAATAAATTTTTTATAAAGTTTATGCTTGAAATATTCTCTTAAAATTGAGAGGTATTATTTTATTTGCTGAAAAATTTGATTAATATTCGAAAGTAAGAATAGATTAAGTTAAGAAAAAAATTTCCAAATTTCATCAGTAATAAATCACTGCTAATATTAATTTACACTATTAATATATACTAAATTGAATTAATATCAGCGTTTATGTTTAAGTTCTTGAGAATACTTAAAAAAATCATGTATAAAGATCTTAGAGATTATAATTTATGAGCTTACCCATAGAATTTGCAGATCCATAACTTGGTTGCCTATTTGCATTTAATGTTGTAGATGATAAAAAACTTTTATTTCCTATAATATTGTTTAAAATGATATTTATATAACGTTCACATGAAATCAATGAAAAAAAAGCTTTTATTATTTATTTGCTCTCACCTGGACCAAAAGGCGTAGGACCTGTTGCAATTTTTCCTACACTGTGGCGATTATTTTTACCATTAACTTTGATTTCCTCAAATACATTTGTACTATCTTTCAGAATATATTTCCTTAAATTAAGATATTGTTCTTTTTGTTGTTGTACTTTACTATGAACATTTTGAAGTCTGCCAGCAACTGCTATTAGAGATTCGTGAATTTTATTCATTGCCATGGTTAATTCTAGAATAAAAATAAATAAACTTGAATAATTTTATCATTTATATTTAGTTGATAATCCGTTATTATTAATGTTGTTAAAATGCATCAACAATGAAACATGAACTCAATCTAAAAAAATTATTTGATATACCTTGTGGTGTTAATGCTCTTGGAGTCATCATGGTGTGAATATGTTTCTCCGTGGTCTCAATTTGTGATCTAAATAACATCAAATCTTGTTCAAAATTTTCGACTAATTCTAGGAAGAACATCAACGGAGCAGTATTTTCATATTGAAGCCCAGCTGGTGTATCATGCGTTCTTTGGGCGATTTCAGCATTTTGCAGTGCTTTAGCAGTGTCTTGTTTAAGTTTATCCGCTAATGCACGATCTCGTTGTACAGATCCACCTAAAGTCGTTAGCATTTCCATTAATGATGCCGTGTCTTCAGCACAGCGATTAAGTGGACGAGCTGAACCTCTTGCTATATCAGAACTGAACCCTTTTTGAGTTTTGACATATTCTCTAAAAAAAAAATTCCAAAGAAACAATCATTAAAAATAAAGACATTAAAGTAGATGAAAAAAAAAAGTAACATACTTGAAGCTCTCAATAGTCTGCGTAAGTTCATTTGGAATAAGGTTTTCTTTTGCTAATGTTGGACCAGTACCACCCAGTGAAAAACCTTTATTGCTTAAGGAAACATCTAAACCACCTAATCCTTTATTAACGCTAGTTGTTGATGATGTTGGAGCAACTGATGTTCCCAATGGTTTAGTTCCAAATAAATTTCCACTAGGAGCACTACCGAGTAATGCTATAAAAGTTCATTTTTACTAAAAATCTCAGAAAGAAATTAAAAAAAAAAAAAAATTTAATTATATACTAACATGAAGAGGTAGTAGTTGTTCCAAAACTTAAACCAATTGCTGGAGCGCTTGTAGTAGCTCCAAAGCCTGCAGTAGTTGATGTAGCAAGAGTTCCAAAATTTAGGCCTGTCAAAGAAGTTGTCGAAGTTGCTGGAGTACCAAATAAACTAGGAGGGGCTGGAGTAGTCCCAGTATTTGGTGGATTTCCAGTAGAGGTAACTGTGGAAGGTGTCATTCCAAAACTAAAGTTCGACGTCGGAGCACTTGTTGCTGCTGGAGTTGCAGCAGCAGTTCCGAATGTTAAACTTCCACTTGCTGGAGTTGCTCCGAACGAAGGAGCAGGCAATCCAAATCCTGTTGCTGGTCTGTAAAAAAATGTTTACATTTAAATATTTAATAATTATAAAAAAAAACATGGTATTTTAAATGATATAATTACTTTGGAGTGCTAAACGATCCAAACCCAGTGGCAGCTGTTGTAGTAGCTGGTACACCAAAACTAAAATTAGCCATTTTTTTAAGTTTTTACAATAATCTTTATATAATTTTCTCTTAATCAACTACTTCAGTATTATTTCGTAAATGAACAGATCAAGTTCAAATAGGTTAGTATCAAAACATCTTTACATAGTTTAGTAGCGACCTCATTGGAACTAAATACTTTGGGCCAATCAACAAGTTATTTTGGATGGAATATATGTATTGTGGAGACTGTAAAAGAACCTACTTCGGCTAATTTCGGTTTTCATTCTAATCATCAAGAGTAACGACATCGATCTTTTTCTGACACTTCAAAAAGTGAGGCGTTCTTTGTCACACTACATAGATGGCAAACAAAAATTTCTTTGAAATCTATTTAATGATTTTACAGAAATTGTTTAACACTCTTAAATTAACATATTCCATTAAATTAAATTTTTTTGAATAAACCTACTAATGTGTTTTGTACATTTAGATTAGAATTTGTATTCTTTATAATAATAATAATAAATTATTCAACATTTTTTTTTCATTATATTCTATTGAATAGATAAATAAAATTCCCATAAAAAGTTATAGATGTAAATTTTTTATAAATCTTAAATTTTTATAGGATTACTAAATGAATCTCTATTGAAAATTCTTAAATTAGCCAAAATAAATTAATAAATAATTAAAAGAGTTTTTTTTTAATTATCCGTCAGTTTTAGATAAAATTTGGATTTTAAAATGTCTATCTCGATAGAATAAAAATAAAAAAAAATACCTATTGATTTCTTACATAAAAGAATAATTGAAAATTAATGATCAAGGAAACAAATTATTTAAAATCTGATTAATTTTTTTTTTATTAATGAAACAGTTTATTGATGTTACAAAAATCTTTTAAACTGATTCTTGAACTGGTGGTTCGTAGCCTTCGGGTCTGTCGACCTTTGATCCAACTTCGCCAGGTTCGCTGGTCTTGCTGCCTCCATCACCGTGTAACTCAAGTAATTTGCTGAGCTCAAATCTTGGCTTCTTTAAAACCTTGACTTTACGAATGTAAACGTCATGGAGTGGGTAGATTCCCTGGCATGCTTTTTCAATATCCTTAGCAATGGCATCGGGGAGCAATTTGCTGACAACACCCTTCAGATCACTTTTGGTAATGTCATCTGTGATTGTTGATACCATTTTACGTCTGATGTTCCTGACCTAGAAGAAATTATAACATTAATTGTTAAATTGAATAATGAATAATCCCAAAGATGACAATGAAAGATTAAAAATAAATTTTGCTTCTAAAAACGGAAAAAAATTCATAATAATAATAAGAATTTAATAATGAATGTCGTTACACAATATTAACGCCTTATACAATTAACTATTAAAGGCGGGGTAAGAGTGTTCATTTATCTACGCAATTAAAAATTATCCACTGAAATCAAATTAATGTCAATGGAGTCTCAACTGCGAATTAATTAAAATTTTAATTGTTTTTTTACCTGAGCGTGCTGGGCGTAACAAGTTTTTCTCTGGCTGAGTTGATCTTTGTTGGTGAAACCAATGCAGAATACTCTTAAGAGGTAACCGTCAGTTGTTTTTACGTCGACGTTGGCTTCAATCAATGTTTGCCATTTCTTTACCATGGATCGGAGTTTGTCGGTTGTCAAGTCCATGCCGTGGAAGTTCGTGAGAACACTTCTTCCTTGGACATCTTCCGCAATTAATCTGAATTTACGGAAAGAGCGTTCCGCGTCTTGATCATTTTGCAAATCCGCAAGTGAAACTTCGAAGACACGAGACTTCAATCCTTCAGAAGCGATTTCTTTAAAAAAAAAAAAAAAAAAAAAAAATAATAATCATTATTAATTCCAATTAATTGAAATAGTTTATCAAGTTAAGTGAAATGACAAATTTCAATAATTAAGTGGCAGCTTATTATAATGTTTCAAGATTCAAGCATGTTTCAGTTTTATAAAATTACTATATACAAAATAAAAATATTCAATAATAATACTAGAATAATGTTATAAATTTTAAGTTCAAGTTAAAGATTCTTTTATTTATTATTGCACGACTCATTATGTGAAGCATCAGCGAGTGTTCTACGATAGAAAAATTATTTTTATTTATATATATTTAATATTTAATTTATCAAATCATTAAGACTATGTTGAGAGAATAGCAACTTGGTTTGAAGAAAAAAAAAAAAATAAAACTTACTTGTGCCCTGAGTTCTGTTGACCAAGGTTTTTCCAACCTGGCGTGTCGTGAACATGGACGGTGCTTTGACATCGTACCAATCTTTCCGGGTGAACGGGTCAACACTATAATGTAATAAAAAATATGCATTGTAAATATTTAATCCCAATCATCAAAAGTAATAAAAACAATATTTTTTGTTAATTAATTTGATGAAGAAGCAGTATACCGCTAAGCACGTGTATAGTGCTAGAGAAACTAACCAAAAAAAAATCTACCAGTAATATCAGCATCACAAATTTTTTATGTAAAATAAAATTTCGATAATTTAAATTTAACAATAGCGAATCATTAAAACAATATATTTATAACTCACATCTTCTTTTTAACTCCTTTTTTGCCTCCTTTGGAAAGACCCTTATTTTTCCCGACTGCCATTTCAAGAGCAGTGTTATAAAAGATCAAATATGGAAACCGTCGTAATGCAAAAGACTCGATATTCGTGAACCTCAAGCTGCGTGCGTAACAAACTAATACTACTTCACTAACAGTGAAATGTGCTCACAGATACTAACAGCGCCATCTAAAAACATGGTGGAACTTTTTCAGGTGCTTATACATATATTTACCAACACATTCATTTTTTAAGTAGTGTGTATGTGTACTCAACCAATTCTCGCACTAGAGGCGCTTTTTTCTCTATTACATCAAATGCCATCTCGAGTCATGGTAGTAACTTGAATCAATTTGTATTCAAAATTGAATTCCAGTATTTAATTAGCTTATTATTTTTTTATTTGTATATCTCGAAAAATAAATGAGAAATATAAGATCTCAATGTATACTTTCAATTATAATGTATTTATTTTTGATAGTACTGCTGAGGTTAAAGTACCGCCAATTTTTAAATTGATTGAACAACTTAATGCCATCTAGTATACAGTGTCGCAAAGTATTGGTAATCTATATTGTTTCAGTAACAAAAGAGTTTGCCTCGGGTTTTTTCGGTTCTTATATTATTTTTATTTCCGTTTTGTGTATAGAGTATTAAAACACTCGAGACTCGAGGCCGATGTTACTGCATGAAGCAGCTCTCTTATTAGTTTGTATATATGAGTTCATTCAAGGTAAAAATTTTTTTTAGTGTAATGCATACAACCATAACTTATTATTTTTTGTGATTTAAATGCACAGGGACTGTTGCTTAAAATTCATCATAAACTCGAGACTGTTCTGGTGTCAACATAGCATGAATAAACTAATGATAAAAAAATTTTAAACTTCCAAAATTAAAGTCATTTGGCCTATAACAAGTGACCCCATTAATCATGAATCTGCAAACGCTTTTTCAAGACTTTAATCCAAGGTAATTAAAATTTTTTGATAATAAAAATTGAATATTAAAAAAAAAACATTTAGTTTCTGAAATAAAAAAATTTACATATAATTAAATTTCAGCTATTTAATTTTTAATTACAGTTGTAGAAATTATTGTTATTATTATTATTAAGATTTACTATTAAAATGAATCATATAAATCAGTAAATTATAATATGCAAAAATTTTTTTTTAAACCTTGCATCTTTTATTATTGCAATGTATAAATATGATAATGAAAACAACTATCAATTTTAAATGTGATGTAACTTCAATCAAGATAATTTTTTTTTTTTTTTAATTAGTTTATTTTTATTTGATAAACACATTATTTTTACGTGATTTTAATCCGTTTTATTTTTTCAGTAAATTTTTAGTCCACTCATGTTTGATGATATTCACCGCATTATTTGCATTAAGACTGGATGGATTTATAGAATGGAGTTATTGGTCGATATTCAGTCCTATTTGGTTGTGGAAGGGTATGGTAATTCTAGGTGCTACAGTAGGCAGTTATGTTTGGTGGAGACATCCTCATGCAAGACTTGAAGGCGATGCTTATGTTCATTACAAGGCTATGTTAATAACTCTTGCCTTACACTTAATTTTATTAATGTTCGAACTATTAGTTTGTGACAAATTAGAATCAGATAGGCATTTATGGATATTAGTATTCATTCCTCTAATTTTTATTTCAATTGTCTCCATAGCTGTAAGTTTTTATTCACATTACATACATCAAATGATAAGTATGAATATAAAATTATTATTAAATTATTTAATTACAGGTGTGCATTTGGGCAGTAAAACACGATCGATCATTTGAACTAGAGTTATTCTGTGCCGTCAATGTACTACAATTTATTTTCTTAGCTTTAAAACTTGATCAATTTATAACATGGAGTTGGGAAGTCGTCTTTGTTCCTCTTTGGGCACTTTTGTGTTTATCATTAGTGGCTGTACTATACACCATAGTATTCGCAGCTGTATTGTTAAGGGCACCACAAGTTAATGCTCGTGTTAGAAGAACTTCATTAAATTCTGCTTTAGCGTATACGTTTCTCGTCGTGCCAATATTAGTATTTCAAGTAAGTAAAATTACGCAATTTTTAAATATATTAAATCCTAGATTAAATAGTTTTTTACTCCGTTTTTTTTATTCTACTCACAGTTTTGAATAGTTTAAAATGTTTTCCTATTAAATTAGAATATAACGATTATTTGTTTTAAAAAATACATTTCTATCATTGTAGAGGCTGGGTAATAATTCAATGATTTACGATTAAAATGGTTGTTTATTCGCTTTTCTTTCGTTTATTGAGATGAGGTAATTACAAAACACTAATTAAAAACAAAATATACAAATCCAATTACAATATCTCATACAATTTATTTTAAAAATCTTTATTAGATAACAACATATCAACGATTTTTTTATTAAACATTTACATAGTAAAAAATGAATCTTTCAATACAGTATACAACCGGAAATTTGTTTGATTTTATTATTATTTGTCTAAGTTGAAAGATCAAAGATTTAAGGTCAAATAAAAAAAAATTGTTCATAGTAAATGATATTTTCTACAAACATAAAAAGGTTTTAGAATAGTCAATTTATGTAAATAATAAATATTATTGTCGTTTGAATTTTTTCATACTATTGCAATAATTTAAAGAAGATTTGTTTTAATTGACATGTTATGATAAAGATTTCTAATAGTGTATTTTTTGCGTCTTACTGTCCTTATTTATTAAGAGCTCGTTATCGAATATATGTTAAATTCAATTTCAATTAGTTGTTTGCTTGGAAATTATATGTTTGTTATTATTAAATGAATTTTTTATTGACTGGTTGATTAAAAGACAATAATGATGTGATGAAAGAATATTTTTACAATTATTATTATTATTAATGATACATGTTTTTACTTAGACTATTAAAATATTACTGTTCTCAACCATTGAAAGAACAAAAAATTCTTTGTTGAAAATCATTTTAAAGTTTAAAATCTTTACTTCTTAACTTCAAAATTTTTGTTTTACCGTTCAATAATTACAAATCGAAGTAAAAATCATTTTTTTACATAGAGAAATGTCTCCAAGTGTAAAATTCTCTAAATAAAAATATATGAAAGTTTTGAAGCTAGTCATTAGTCGAAACTCGCAAAAAAAAACGGTACAAGATTCATCATTTGTTAAAATTAAAGTGCACGCTATTCAATTTTCTAGTAATATTTTTAAAACTAATCAAGAATATTTAAAGTTATATCTAAATAGTTAAAGAATTAATTATTAATCATGGTAAATTTACTCTGTCTCTAGTTATTTAAATATTGAATTAAGAAAATATTAAGGTTCAAAGTTTTATCAGATTAAAATTTTGTAAATTAAAGATTTTAAGTTTTGAAATTACATTTTAAATATTATCAAGAAATTACATAAATTATTTCGTTCTCGACAATTTTTGTGAACAGCATATTTGAACCGTTAAGTTTCGTTAGTGAAAATATAGCAAATAAAATTTCCTATTTACCTAGCAATAGTATAAACAAAAGTTATATTTTTCATTAACAAAAACTTTAATTAAAAACACCGATGATTAATTCACGTATCTAAGTACATGCAGTATCATGATTGATCACATCAGTTACATAAAGAAACAGTGAAGAATTTTTGTATGAAATATTTCACTAGATTTTGTTGAACAATTTTGAGTTATTTAGTGTTTTTTGCTGTTACCTTTTTTGTGTTCATACTTCTTTTTTTTATAATCACCACCTTTTTTACCATGATGCGAATGATGAGAATGATGCTCTTCGTGTCCATTTTCACCAGAATGTCCTTTATGTTCTTTATCATGGTGACCTTTAGCTGAGTGGCCTTTCTTATCATGATGCTTGTCATGATAACTTGAATGATGATTATCTCCTTTTTTATGTTCTCCATGTGCCTTTTTATGATGCCCTTCGAAATGACCATGCTTGTCGTGATGGCCGCCTTTATGTTCATCATCATAAAATTTATGTTCTTTGTGATACTCATCTTTCTGGAATTTGTTATGATACCCTTTTACTTTGTGCCCTTTTTTATGTCCTTTTTTTTCGCCAAATTTTCCTTGTTTGTGATTTTTTTCATGTTTATGCCCATGTTCATATTCTTCTGCCTCATCGTAATGTTTCTTTTCATGTCCGCCATGTTTCTTGAGAAAATCTTCATAATCTTCTTTTTTATGATCGCCTTTTTTACCTTCACCATGATGATGATGGCTATGAAATTCTTTACTATCTTTCTCGCCATGTTCGTCATGATGATCTGCATGATGCTCTTCACCTTTACCACTGGAAAATTTATGCTCGTCATGAGATGCGGATGGTAAAAGATCGTAATCTTGACGTCTTGTAGCTATTTGATCTCGATATTGGACCCATGTAACTGGTATTTCACGTGAATAACAAAATAACTGATAAAAAGATGACAATAATAATATAGATATAAATAATTTGTTAGATTTGATCATCTTTGTAAACATTTTTAAAATCCATACCCCGATCTATTTACAATTTATAGGAACTCTGATTGTCAATTTTCGTACGACGCACTCAAATAATCTTTTAAACGTCCAAGTTCACAATGTTCTGCTATGTCCAGATTATTTATACTCAATTATCTCACTCACTTTCTTTATTGTGGTCAATCATTTATAAAATAAAAAAAAAATTTATCTCAATAAAAGCTTAACAGTTAAGTAATAGTTTTTTATCTCGTCGGTTGCTAAAGATTTGGTAAATTTTTTCAATGATTTTCTCTATTATATAAACATAAATCTCTACTTTACGGTAATAGATTAATAAAAACTTTTCTTAAATTACTCAACTTTCTATAATTTTTTTTTGTTCTGTTTCTATATAAACTGTTATAATCAATGGTGAAATGTTCAATACTATAGATATAAATTAAGAAACATTTTTAATACAACTTTTGAAATTCAGTAATTACGATATTTTATATCAATAAACTATAGCGATATGTTTAATATATTGTATTTGATATTATTTTTTCAGTTATGTCTTTGCAATAACGAGCGCTTTAACTTATAACAAAAATTTAAAACAATTATTTAATAAAAAAAATTTTTTTTTAAAGGTATTACTAGCAAATAAATTGGATGGAGATTTGTCATTAAATTATACAACTATAGCTGCACCATTATTACTCTCTCATATGACACTTATCTTCATGTCTTTTGGTGCTAAAGGTGGAAATAGATGTAAGTAAAAAATTTCAATTATTTAACGATATTAATGAAGTATTTGACAAAAGATTTGGGGGAAAAAAAAATGTATGCATACTCACATTCTTTAATTTAAAAAATAGTTGAATTATAATTACTCTGCTAAAATTTAATATTATAATTTACAAATCAATAACACAAAAATATACTGGGTAATCATTAATTAAATCAACAAAATTATCCGTTAATTTATAATTTAAAAATTTTTGTTTCTAATACCTTGAAAAACAATTTTTTTAGGGTGGTTTGGAATACGAAAAGACTTTTGTCATTTTCTTTTAGGCCTCTGTCCGCTTCTCCAAGAGTACGGGAATATTTCTTATCAACCAAGAAGTGATCACGATCAACCACCATCAGAACCAATGGTTTCAGATAAGAATGAAAAGCATATTAAAAAAATCGACCTAATGAAGCCTGTTGTGCCTATTATTTCTATTGATATGCCCGATTGATGGCTAAAAAACTCATGGATTGTTGCGGAAATTTTTAAGCGATTATAATTGTGATGAATACAGAAACAACGGTCAGCACTGTGTATATATATATATTAATTGTGAATAAGATCTTTGATGAAGAAGTATTCAAAGTAGAAAGAAAAACATCAAATACAGTGTGAAGATATATTGGAATAGAAAATTTACAGCAAATTTATAAGTTAAGTTTTAAATATAATAGATTAATTTTTGCCTCCAAGTTATGAAAACGTTAAATGGCTTTCTGTTAATCGTATCTATTTACGTTATTGAATACATTTTCTTTATTAGCCTATTAACCCGTCCATTTTGTTAACAGGATCCTTATGCTTATTGGATCTGTAATCGATTATTTTTTGGCGAGTAAATATTAGAGAATATTAAATCTATTTGTGTTACGACATTAAGCATAATAACAACTCAATAATTATAAATTAGATTATGTCGGTGCTATACTATTGGTTGTGAAGTTCTTCCAATGTTCTCTTTTTTATTGTTATACCTATTTAGCAAGTTAACCGACTGTCATAATTAATCAAATGTTTTTTCTAAGAAAAATATTTTATGACGTCAGTACTCCATTTTTTTTTATATTGTATTATTGGATTAAATGAAATTTTATTAATTAAGTCAAGAGAATAATACTAAAATTGTAAATACTAAATTGAAATTCGTAAGTCATTATTCAGTTTAGTTATTAGGTAAATATATACCTGAGGTAATCAAACATAATTAATATTCAAGATTGTGTCATATTTTACTTAACATAGTTATACAGTGTGAACCGTATACCCTGGAGTTGGTGATCAAAGTTAATGAATTTATTTTAATTAGTCAACCCTATTAAAATTCGACAATATATAATTATTAAATTATTAAGATGGCCCGAAAAAAAAAAAAAAAAAAAAACAAATTTTTCCAGCTTCACGTCTTTCATGAATCTTGTAAGAATAAATAAGATCCAACAATATTTAAAGGTCTTAAAAATTTTTTAATTATTTCTAATGATGTTTGAATGTTTTCAAATGATTGTTGAAAGTTACAGTTGAATTTTTCACATTACAGTACATAAAATGTATAAAAAAAAAATACGAAAAAAAGTAAATAAAAATGAGTAATTAATGTAATTAATAACGATTATATTTAATTACTTTAAGCTATTTAAACATTTTTCAGTTATTGTAAACATTTGCAATAATTATGATAATACCGATGAGAAACAAATTTTGGAAAAAAATCTATTAAATAATTTAAGAAAATTTAGGTAAACAATTTTAAGTTAACTAAAATTTATCGATTTTAGTATACTATTTGAAATACATGTTTGTTATTCATTTTTTTAAGTGCCTTACATTCTATTTTTATTCATTTTTATGTAATCTAATAATTAAAAGAAATATAGGATTAATAATGAAATTTAAAAGTCGTTTGAAAACGTTCAAAATGTCATAATTCAATGAAAATATTAATCTATTTTTCTGAGCTACTCGTATATATATGTGCGCATGTAATATAATATAAATATAAGTAATTGAATATTTTAACTTTAAAAAATTAATTTTTCAAAATGTAATAGTGAAACTCCAACCTGGTGTAAAAGAGTTTGTCAACTACGGCACAAGACTGAACACTTTATGTGTAGATTAGTATTAATAATAGTTAATTTTAATCGATCATAATACACATATTTGAAAAAATGTTAAATTAAGTTTATATCATAAAATAATAATTGTAAGTTTCTGCTTAAAATATTGACGTAGCAAGTGGCCAATTGTTCATTAAATTAAGTAAAATACTATTAAATTGTACAGACATTACCTAGAGTTTTTCAAACCTAGATGTATACAATTAAAGTGTATGTATTTAACAATTTATACATATCGATTAAGGACGTTTAAGTGATGTATTAATTTCATTTTATAATTATATCTCAAATGCATACTACAACAACCCAATAAACTTTATATTTTTTGGTAATAATTATAATATAAATATTTTATTTAAAACCTTTATTAATTATACATAATAAATAATACCATTGATTTGAAGAAGAATTTTAATTACTCCTCGTTAAATTTATAAATAGGCCTATGAATAAAAAGTACATTTAAAAAATAATGTTAAAATTAAATATTGCAACAAATAATTTAATTTTAATAAATAATTATACTTTTATTAGTTTTTAAAGTATTTATAACTATAACTATTTATTTATTTATTATCCATAAATTTTTTTAATAAAAATACATTGTTTGATCAATAACATTATTCTATTTTTATAAAATTAAATGATAGTTTCTATTATGTTAATTCAAGTTGCTACCAAAATGGAATGCTCTCTGGTATCCATGGTCGACCTAGAAGACATGAAACTTGGGAAGCTGCTTCATCTACATTTAAATTTGAATCTTCCATAAGGGATGTTTCCCATATCAAAAGTATTTGAAGACGTTCTTTACAAATCCCAACGAATTCCACGAGACCAGAACATCTGGATGTAAATTCATAAAATTGAAATTTTTTTTAATAATCAAGAAGTATAACAATCTATTATAACTTATAACATATTCACAATAGGAAACTCACGTTAATTCACAGTCTCCAAGGCTTATAGCTGATAATTTTGGACATCCTTTAGCAGCAGCAATTAATGGTTCGTCAATAAGGCCAAAATTATACGAACTAATAATAAGTTCTACAAGTCGCGTGCAGCATTTACTAATTCTGCCAACAGTTATTTCAGGCGGGGATCCACTAAGAAATAAATGAGTAACTGGAATTGGTGTTATAAGAAAATCATTACAATTATCTTCATCTGATAAATACGACGTTCTGAAATGATAGAATTATTTTGATTAATTTCACGCAAAGTTTGACGTATTTTTCCATGTATAAAAATTGAAAATAGTCATTATAATTAAAAACAAACGATTACTTTAATGGAAAATATGTTGTATATCTAAAAGTATAGTGTTGAAATTGAATCGTTATTACTAATTTGTAATCATTTTGTGTAAATAGGATGAAGATGAACAAATGGGGCATTCCACATTGAATCGACCACTTTTGAACCTGACTCCTTTAGATTTCAATAATATTTTTTTTGTTTTTTAACTGACTGGAAAGTGTTTCTAAGAATTTTCACAAATTTTTTTACCTAATCAAAAAAAAATAACGGATTTTTTTTTTTTTTTTTTTCAATAGTTAATAACTTTGTTAAATATTAATTTATCGGGCCGTTTGTTTTTTTTTAATTTTTGAAGGTTTTTTTTTGCTTTTCAATGTAGTTTTTGGAAAAACGTTAATTTGAGTGATTTCTATTTTTCTTCTCTTACTTTTACAAAAAAAAATTGAAATTTCTTCAACGATGAACACTTAATTTTTTCTCTCTTTCAATTCTATGGTTCTAAAATCTTCATAAATTTTTAACAAAATTATGGATATTTGAAGATTAAAAGGCTTTTTTTTAATCCGTAACTTTTTTTTGGTTGGGTAAAAAAATTTGAGAAAAAATCTGTGAAACACCTTTCGTCAGGTAAAAAACAAAACAAATTTTCAGCGAAATCGAGAGGAGTTAGGTTCAAAAGTAGTCGATTTGCCGTGGAATGCCCTATTGATATTAATCGGTACAATTCAGTTTTTAGTACTTGTGTTATAAACTGACAACGACAGTTGGATATTACTGAATCACATATTTCGCTAATATTAAATTAGTATTTTTAACTTCCCGCTAAGAAAATCGAAGATTTTCGAAAAATCGGGAAGTTATTGGTTTCACCCCGTTTTTCGAAAATCGAGTTTTCAACGGATGTTGACGTTTTGAGGTCCTAGGAAGCCTCCCCGAATGTTTCCGCGATGATGTCCGTACGTCTGTATGTATGTATGTATGTGTGTGTGTGTGTGTACGGCCGTATGTAAACCTCTCATAACTTTTGAACGGCTTGACCGATTTTATCGCGGTTGGCGTTATTCGAAAGGGCTTGACTAAACTTAGATTTTCACCATAATTTGGACCGATTCGAACCAGTAGATTTTAAGAAATCTTGAAAAAACTGCAAAAAAAATTTTTTTCAAATGCGGTTTTTTTGGAATAACTTTTAAATGGCTTAACCGATCGATTCCAAAAACTAATCAGCTCTTAACATAAAAAAAAACACGTCGATTGCCGCCAGCTCGGTCAAAATCGGTTAATTCGTTCATGAGTTATCGTTAACGAAAAAAATCGAAAAAAATGTTTTTTGAGAATTACTTTGAAATTCCTTGTTCGATCACTTTAAACTTAATGGTTCTTCATAAGGCTTTAGAAACTGCGTTGAATGCCACCAACCACGTAAAAATCGGTTCATTGATTCAAAAGTTATTGCGGTTTAAAAATTCGAAAAATGGTGTTTTATTCAACTTCTAGCAGATTTTTGAGCTCGAAGAGCTCAAAAATGTAATAAATGCAGTTTTGTGCGCTTAAGTATGAAATGAGCGGGAAGTTGCAGGGATGGCCTTTAGGGTCAACCGTTTTCCGAATTTTTTTAATTGATGATATCTTATTAAAAAAAAAATCATTTAAATATTACATAAAAATTATTTAATTCAAGAAACATATTTTCATTCTTGTTTCGAAATATTGATCTATTATGATAATTACCGATCAGAGATTCAAATATTTGAATCCAATAATTTATAAACTAACAGAATGAATTTGTAAAATAAGATAGCCAATTTTCGTTAAAATAGTTTCCTCAGTTCAAAATGATGTCTCTTAAATCTAATTAGTTTGCCTATCAGAGTAGATCATAATAATAATTTCGTTATTTGAAATATATTAGAAATGATTTTTAAAGTGTACTTGATTATTTTAATTTTTCAAAAAAAAAAATTTTGCATATAAAAACATACAACCACATTGAAGACATTAATAGAAATTTTTTAATTTTTAGAATATTTTCATACAGATCATAATTATTAGGTGATGGACATTAAATGGTATATTTTTTCTTTAACTCATTATTTTTTTTTTTATGGATTAAATGTTTTTTTTTAAATGTTATTTGATTAAAATTGTTATAATTAATACTTACAAGACAACATTAAGATCAGGTAAATGATTTTCTAATGTAAGCCACGTTTTATCGCTAATGTGTGGTAGTGGTTTTTCATCAGGGTAAACTTCAATTTTCATTGTTTTGAGATTTATTTGATCATCACACGATAATGCTGTGAGTAGTTCATCACTGAGCAAAGAATAAGATAAAGATAGTTCTTGAAGAAATTGATACTGACTAATGGTTTTTACAATATCTAAACGGAAATAAAAAAAAAGTATAAAATCAAAAATCAAATTAAGAACTTTTCTCACTAATTTGTATAACCTTTTAATAACAATTCTGTTGAGTCATCAAGATGTAATTTTTCAACATTTGTTATATTTTCACATGTGTTGACTGACTGTAAAGTACAACTTGTCGATATGTCATCCGTTCTTAGCGATTTAAAAAATAATTCATCCGATGATTGTACTTTCGTAAAAGGTGTTATATCCAAATAAGAAAAATTATCAGAAACTGATAATGAATTAGTTAATGAAAGCATCTATAAAGAAAAATTTATCTGATTATTTTTAAAAGTCTACATTCTATTAAAAATTTTAAATCAAAATTTTTATAACAAAAAATAATTCTCAAACCCTGACTTTAGTATAGAATTTAGTCAACTTTTCTTGTTCCACTTTTGAAGATAATACTTTTTTTTCATAGGACAATAAAGTGAAGTTTATAATGATACATGTGATCAATGTAGACTAAGCTTGAAAGAAAACTCGGTAAGCAAGGACCTCAAGCCGTTGATGAAACCAATTGACGGAGTGTTTAGGGTAGGGGAGATGGATTTGAAAGGATTTAATTAAAAAATTCAGCAAATGATAATTCCTTAGCAAAATCAAAAGCATGTGAGACCTTCCATTGCAACACTTTTGCTCTATACTAACAGAGATCTTATGCCAATCCAATATAAAATGTATTCAGAATTACCAGTAAAAGGCGATTGTAAGCAAGTAGGCCGTTCACGTGAATGGCCCTGACATGTTTGGAAAACAGGCGTACTGGATCACGTGTGCATTAAATAAAAATACTAATAGAAAGGTGAAATAAATATTTTTGAAGTATAGTATTATAACAAGAACATGTGATTTCATAGAGTGCTAATTTTGAATTAAGATAAATATTTAACTATATATGGACAATTTCAACCTTTTTTAATAGATCTCAAATAATTTTCTCCTAATAATTTGGTAGATATTAAAAAATAAATCTAATAGTCTTTTGCAAAATGTCCGACGACAAATTAAAAAAAAAATTAAAGTATCTTTAAATAAATTCAAAATAATCTATCAAAAAATGATTACAAAGTTAGATATTTCATTTTCAAATGTCATAACTTGTATTACTATGTTTATAACTAGTATTTATAAAAAAACTTGATACGTCACATAAGTGCGCAATTTTATCTGATTGCGTCTAATGAGTCCTGAATACACGTGTGATTTGATCACGAGTATGCATAGAAAGTATAAAGCACGTGATTTTAATAATCAATATCAAACACATAAGAAAAAATTATTTTATATAAATGATTATAAATATATTTGAGACTTTACAATCTACATTGATTTATTTATTTTAATAATGTAATAATGAAACAATAAATATAAATAATACCTTTAGTATATATACTCATGTGTTGACAAAAAACATCTTCTATAATGAATGTTTTTTTTTAATATCATAAGTTTTTACATTTAAGTTGTTATTAAATGGCTATGGTACGTCGTTCTGCTATTTAATCGTAGAAGAAAAATAAACATATAAATAAAAATTTTAAAAAATTTACATTTTATGTCATTATACCTAGTTAAAATCAAATAGATTAACTTCATGTCTACACATTAATTTTATATAGAATAAATATTATGAAAGGAATAAAAAATTATTGATGAATTAAAATTTTGAATTGAGCTGAACAAAAAAATATTGAAAAGATAGTAATTTGAAAAAAAATCAGTTTTTAATTTTTAACTTCCCGCTATAGAAAATCGAAGATTTTCAAAAATCGGGAAGTTATTGGTTTTACACGGAAAAAAGTAAACTATAATAAATAAAAGTCGATTTATGATAAGTAATGATCAACTGCTAAAAATTAATCTCAAAAAAACATCAAAAAATAAAAGTTTGTGAATTCTTAAACAACTATAACTTTTGAATGCGTCGTTTGATTTTCATTTTCAAAGAAGCATTCGATACAGTTTTTTAAGCACAAAAAATGTATACATAGTTTTATTATGATTTTTTCGCACGCATTCTTCGAAATGGTTCGATGGATTAACACTCAAATAGAATAAGATCTAAGTTTTGATAAACCCTTTCGACGTTGCAGAATTCAATCGGTTGATTCGTTTTTGAGAAACCGTATGACAAAAATTTGTTTACACACATACATCCACACACACGACCGGACACCTCGGCGAGAATAGTCAGAATAGCTTCCTGGGACCTCAAAACGTGGGGATCCGATGAAATCTTGACTTTCAATAATCGGACCCAAATCAATAACTTCTCTCTAGTGGAAAATTTTCAATTTTCTTAGTGGGAAGTTAAAAATCCTGAAAAAGAGATTAACCTGCAGAGGCCATCCTTAGAATTTTTTGCTAGAAAATCCTCCTCAACATTTTAAATACATTGATGAAAAAGAATTTTTTTTTTCATTTTGCAAAATAACTATATCTGAAAAAAATTTTCTTTTTTAAGTTTTTGTTTTCATATTTTTATACTTGTAGAGAATAAAATTTTAAAATTGTCTTTTTGAGTCTATATTTTGCCACTATGCACGCTCGTAATATCTGAAACGCAATGTTTTGCTGATATAAAATTATATTCATAATTCGGAGGGTAGAATTTGTATTAAAAATTTCTTTCTGGAATAACTTTCAAACTTTCAACTTACAAACAGCATATGAATCAATTGCCATGTTGAAAAGAAATCGTAAACGGAAAATTTCAAAAGTCTTTTTTTAACTTCCCGCTAAGAAAATCGAAGATTTTCAAAAATCGGGAAGTTATTGGTTTTACCCCGTTTTTCAAAAATTGAATTCTCATCAGATCTCGACGTTCTAAGGTCACAGAAAGCTTCCCTGACTACCCCGGTGAGGGTGTCATTATGTCTGTATGTCTGAATGAGGGTGAGTGTGTGTTTTTTTTTTTTTATAGAGAACCGATTGCATCGCGGTTGGTGCCATTCGAAAGGGTTTGACTGAACTTAGATTTTGAATATAATTTGGACCGATTCGGACCGGTAGATTTTAAGAAATCTCGAAAAAATACGCGAAAAAATTTTTTCAAATGTGGTTTTTTTTGGAATAACTTTCAAACGACTTCATCGATCAACTCCAAAAACTAATCAGCTTTTTACCTTGAAAAACCACGTCGATCGCCGCTAATCCAGTCAAAATCGATTGATTCGTTCGAGAGATATCGTGAAGGAAAGAAAACCGAAAAAAGTGTTTTTTCGGAATTACTCCGAAATTCCTAGTTTAATCAATTTAAACTTATAGATCCTTCATGAGGCTGATAAAACTGCGTTGAATGCCGTCAACCGCATGAAAATCGGTTGATTCATTCAAAAGTTATTGAGGTTTGAAAAATCAAAAAATAATGTTCTATGAAATCCCTATCAGATTTTTGAGCTCGAAGAGCTCAAAAGCATATAAAAGCTACCTCTTTGTACTTGGAGAGCTCGAAATAACATATAAATTGTATGTTTGAGCTCAAAGAGCTCAAGAACTTTATAAGTGCAATTTTAAGCGCCTAAACCGCCGAGGTATAGAATTAGCGGGAAGTTGCAGGGATGGCCTGTAGGGTCAACCGTTTTTCTAATTTTTTTTCACTGTGTTGCACCAAATAAAAAATTTGAAAAAATTTCTATGAACAGAAGTGTATAATAGACGTTTTCTGATAAAATTTTAGAGATTGCATGTTTATAAAGACGAAATTAAAAAATGATTTGAATTTTATTTCTTCTGTTAAAAATTGGCTTTCAACTTAGGAATTTGAAATTTTTAAATTGGAGAAAAAAAAAATAGGTTTTTTTATTATCTTAGAAACTAGTTAAGATTAAGAGCTGAAATTTTCGTTGAATTCAGCATGATTATCAGGCTGTACTGTTTATCTTTATTTGTACTTTCTCAAATATTTGAGTATCTCAGTGTAATTCAGGATTTATTCTAAAGCAATTCAAACTGTTGTGGCACAGGCACGCAGCTTGCTGTTGGCGCCATTTCGTTGAAAAAATTCAAAGAGCAGTAGGATTAAATAGTTGTTTTTTTTAGTTACTACTTTTTGAAGTAACAGACTGTAGTTATTTGTACGTCAACATCGATTTTTGAACAATCATAAAAGAGCCATCGAAAAAAATTTTTGTTTGTCTTTCAAAAGGTCAAGAGGTTGCCCCGACAAATTTTAACAACAGTTCAGCAGCAATAGTTAAGCCCACACATCAACGTTTGAAGTTCTGTCTTGCCCATGCTTCAATGATAAGATAAAATGACAGTAATGTATGATAATAATGACATTCGAACCTTGGAAAATCCAATAAAAAATCAACTGTTCTAGTCTTTAATAATAACTCATTTTTGAAAAACTTATCATAAAGTAAAGGTAAAAAAATAATGTAACATACAATTGAAATATACGAAAAATTTATTTACATAAAAACTTTAAAATGTTACCTGTTTAACTGTTGCGCCGTTTTATTTCGAAATACCCAATTAATAAAATTTAAATTGCAAAAAATAAAAAAAACAATAGTATTGTCGCAATTATTAAAACTAACCCAATAAATTCAATAATGAATCTATATAGCTAATTAATAAAATTATACTTGGATGTAAATGGCTTTTTGTCTAGATTTATTTTTTGCAAAAAGGTAAATGAAAGCGCAAAAAAAAATTACAATTTACGGAGAATTTTATTCATCCATAAGATGCACGGTTGGTGTAATCATCTTTTTAAATGTATTAAATATTTGACGTTAATATATTCTTTTTTCTTTTTTGTTAGAATAAATCATTTAATTTTTTTATGCATAAATATCGTTTATATTAATCAATTGGATTCATTTAATAATAATTTTCTTTCATAATACCATTCATTACAATATTTACATAAACATACATACAACTTGAAAAGATCAAACATTAATCATTCAATAATAAAAATATTTCGTTTGTTATTATTATAATTATTTCTCATTACTAATTTCATTTTCGTGAATCATTTCATGACTGCCAATTTTACTAACTTTGAGTTCCAATTATTAAGAGCAATATTTTTCTTCATTTCTTTAGTAAAATAAAATAAAATATTTATAATTTCCTCATTATTTTAGAGTAATTCAAATCAATTATATAAATGAAATTTAAATGGTTTAATTATGTTACTAATTAATTATTATTTCCTTATAATTTCTGATTATTATTATATCAATCATTTCATATAATATACATAATTAAGCTCGTAAATGAATATCAGAAATAAACACATCAAATGCGATGAAAAAAAAACTTAAATTAACCCGTAACATCCAACCGTGGCCAACTTTGCTAATATTACGAATTAGCGGCAACAAATTTATCTAATTGAAAAGCTATCTACTTGAAAAAAGAGCCTGATATATTTACAGGCATTCATCATTATTTAAATACAAAATTTTTTTTTTTATTATTATTATTTCATTATTCTTAGTATGTACTTTGTTTCACAATTTTTTTTTGTTTACAATAATAATTGTTATCAAAATTTGTATTGGTTATAAAATTGAGGATGTCAGCTTGCAATAAGGCTCAAAAAGTTACAATTGGTTCTTGCATATTTTACCATAAATAAAAAATAATAATTATAAATATCATTTATTATATATACTACTACTTTTATTTTTAGATATGACTTCATATGAAATTGTTTCTTTATCTTTGTATATTATTTTTGACTTTCAGCTTTTTAAAAAACAAGAAAAAAAATATTTCTCTAAAAAATTTTAATTTTTTTTCACGTTAAATCAATAACATGCTAAAGAATTGTTAGTCAATTTAATTTAAATAATATTTTTCTGTTCTTCCACCAACAACTCATTCAACATGCGTAAAAAATTCAATCACGCAATTTCATAGTGATTGTACCACAATAAAATAAGAATGTAAGTACGGTATATATTTATTTATAATTAAAAATTTTTAAAATCCCTATTTAATAATTCATTTATATAATAATAATAATTAAACATAATCTTAATGGCTTATACAACACGTAATAAATGTGTTTATAATTAATTATTATTAATAATATAATTATTATTACTTTTCGTGTATATCATTATCAAAAAATGGCATTAACGAGATCTCAGTTATGAAAAAATCGTGCAAAAATTCAAATTATTAATTTTATAAACGCGATACAACATACAAAAGAAAATAATTAAAATTAACAAAGTTTACTGAATTACATATAACATTTAAGTTCTATATGTTAGGTATTCCATGATCGCGTTTATATCTATAAAAAAATTACGTACGTTTTATTTTGAAACTATACATTAATTATGATAATTATGTTTCTCCAATTGCTAAGTTAAACTTTATTGAGAAAATGTCTTATATAAAGCACCGTGAATAAAAAAACATACAAATAAAGTAACGCCTTGGACACTTAAAAAATATGCAAAAAAGTAACAGGCCCAATATTTGTGCATTCCAGTTGCTAACATATATTTTTCATATTTTATTGCGGACGCTTGTTACTTTGCAATTTTATTTTTTTTTTTAATTTTTCTATTATTATTAATCAATTATTGTTATTGATATTAATTGCACGTACGTATATTTCGTATAATCTCGTGTATATATGTATAAATCGTTTTATAAATTCACGAATATGTTTGTATATAGTTGCACATTTATTCAAAATGAATAATTAATATAAATCAATCGCAGTGTACTAGTAATATAAAGCGAGCTTAAAATTTATATCACATCCTTAGTGTGTGCAGCAGTATTTCCTACGTCTACTTATATGTATACAATTTATTTTTTTTTGACTTTTTTTATAAATTTTTTTACAATACAAATTTGTGTTTTTTCTATACTACGATGATATATCCGTTGCTTAATTTATGCTTCAGCCGAAAATTATTGCGCAGTCTGTCGTTGTGTTTTGTTGAATGATTGATCAAAAAAACAAATTCATGTTCGATTAAAAACAGGTATACAATCATTTGATATTGATCGATTTAATCATTTATTTATTTATTTGCATCAATAGTAACCAGTACTAAATGATGATGAATAATCAAATAAAATATAATGGGCAATAAAGTCAGTATTATTTGCAGCCACGCAAAAGTATTCAGCTAATATTAATGTAATAGCTGTTTAGTTGGCGAAATAATAATGAAATTAATAATAATTAATAATAATAATAATAATAATAATAATGACAATAACAATAATATTAAACGTAGTAGCAGCAACAGCCATAAATAGCAAGTACATAGTTACATTAATGATGAAAAATCTAAAAGATTAATCAGTGTTTCCACCAACCGCAGAAACAAGAGTACCACCGCCGCCTCTCGTGATGAGGCTTAATTATCTGCTATTGTCAGTGCATTGCTCGTGTTGTTAGATGAGTCGTCTCCGCTCTTTTTGGTGGTGGTGGTGGTGGCCGTCGTTTACTAGCTATTACATTAGCAATATTCATACTTATATTTTCATCAGCAAATCTCACTGTTGATTGTCGTCCTGGGCTTGAAGCATACTCAACAGGAGCAGTTGGATCATTTGTGTATACATTCTCGTATAAATTATCAGCACCATAATGCTCTTGTACCCAATTAGAGACATTTGTTTCTCTGTAGTCTGCAATTGCCGGGGGCGGATCACGGAAACCGAGTACTTCGTGGGGTGTAGTTGTTGAATCTAACTTACACTTTTGCGCAACTTGCCATTTTTTTCTCATAACTCTCTGAAGATCTTTTAGAAAATCACCGGGTGGCGCTTGGTCAGAAGCTGCCAACTTTTTCGGTGAAGTCAGTCGTGTGCTATCGGATCTTCTCGGTGGCATTGGCTTTCTTTGCGGCAAAGCTGGACTTCCTGGCTCTTGCTGTGGTGGCAAATTGAATGAAATCTTCTTACCAGTTCCAGTCTTTGATTTAGGTGAGGTTGGAGGCTCTAGGATGGTTACCCGCCTCTGTGGTTGTGGACTAGCGGTAGCTTTCAGTTCTGCAAGGTACGGTGGAGTAGCGTAGTGTCCGGAATTTTGTTTTAAAGCACTTCTTCGGATGGTATCCATGTTCGGATTAGGCCTGATTATTGGCCCACACTGCTGAGCAGCTGGATAAGTTCCGTAAATTTGATCTGAATTGTAATTTTGTCGCTGAAGGCTGTTCTGTTGTTGTGGTTGTGGTTGTGGTTGTAGTTGTTGTTGTTGTTGTTGTTGTTGTTGTTGTTGTTGTTGTTGTTGTAGTTGTTGTTGTTGTAGCTGCTGCTGTTGTTGTAACTGTAATTGCAATTGTTGTTGTTGCTGCTGCTGCTGTTGTTGAGCCCCATAAGCTGGAGGTGGTACAAAGGGTGGTGGTATTGCAAAATTCGGTGAACTTGGCATGAATGTCGGTGTGCTGGCATTGGATCCAGGATAAGAATCATTTGCCGACATATTGGATGCGTGGTTATGAGCATAGCCATTATTTTGTAGAGAAAGATTACAGTTTTGATTTGGTGTCATGTTATTGTTATCATTAATCATTCCGTAAATTTGATTACCGTTGTTGCGTGTTGGTGTGTGAGTTGGTGTGCATTCTGGTGACAATGAATTTGTTGGGGTTGTCTGTTTATTAGGCCTGGCACGTCGAATGGTACCGGTTTCGCCAACAAGCGGACTTGGCGGTGGTGGCAATGAGACTAGGCTTAAAGATGATCCAGAAAAATCAGTTGTGTCACAAATGGGTAACTCACCAGGAGCTGGTGGTGGTGGTAATGAATCTAAGGACAGATTTGACCGGAACATTTCTGGTGGAGGAGGTGGCAGAGGCTCGCCGTCAGACTCTATTTCTTCAGTAAGTCTTGGGGGTGATGGCGGAGGCGGTAGAGAGGTAATCGAGTCCATCATACACTCTGGTATTGGACTAGTGGGAGTTTTAGGTTCTTGACTGTCTGTTCTGGAGAAATTCATGGGACTGACTCTTTCGCGGACTGGAGTGCCAGGAGGAATGGGACTGACGGGTGTGGCGTTTCCAGATCTGTGATGTCGTTTTAAAGTACCAGACCCATCGGAATCAGTGCCGCTTCTTCTACGACTGTGTCTCCGTGTCAGTGTACCGGAGCCTGAACTCGTGGGACTTGGACAAGAGTCTGGTTCGTCACGGACAGTTTCGCCTACTTCTTTTAGCTGTCTGGTAATGGAAGTTAATGGCAACTTTGGGTTCATTGAGGGCTTGCGTTTTATTGTACCTGTTGGGAACTCGCCGCATTCAAAGGCGACCTCGCAACTGCTCGGTGCTCCATCTGACAAGCATCCACTGGAGCTGGAGCTGCTGGCACGGCTGAGTCTACCATCATTTGTATAACTCTGTCGTTGCTCGGAATTGTAGCTCTGCCGCTGATTATCATACTGTCGGGAGTTGTCGGTCCCATTGTGCCTGTTAATTTCCGTAAATTGTCTGGTGTTATCGTTGGTGGTATTGTACTGCGTCTGGTTGGTTGGTGGCACGGCGATTGAACTGACGGAGCAGGATCTAGCGTGCGCCAGAATATCCAAGTCTTCTTGTGCGAGTTCATCTACCAGCGTCCTGTAGTTTTCCATTAGCTGTCGCCCGTATTTAGCCACTCGGACACCAACCATCCATCGCTCCAACGAGGCATTATCCTCGGCGCAGAGAAACTTTATGTACTTTGTTGATTTTGGCTGCTGAAGTCGTGGATGTTTAACGGCGAAGCAAAAATCTGTTGGTGCTTTGTATTTTTTCTTCCATCCCACACCGTAGTACACTTGGTTGACGTCTAATGTCGCTAAACACACAAGATCCCTAGCAGTTCTCGCTTTTTCTTTAGGCCAGTAGTAAAGACCGGAAGCACGTAGAATAAAGTGGTACTTCTTCCAGCCTTTTTTACCGTCTGACTTCAAGTACAGTGGACCCTCGACCTAAGCAACAAAAAAAAAATCAAATGAAACGTTATTTCTATTACGAGTCATTCTGCCAACTCGTCAGCTTAAAATCTTTTTTGGCGATAAGCCCGGATGTTGACGTGACAAAAAATATTTAAAAGAAATGATAAAAAAAAAAAAATAATAATAATAATAATAATAATAATAATAATAAAAAAATAGATATATATGTGTGTATTTGGTATTACACTTGTAATTACCTCGGGTACTCCAACATTGCTGCTAGAAAAGAACTCCTCAAGCAAGATGTTCCTCGAATGGTCGTCGTACTCGCCTGTATTTCTGTCTGATTGACCAAGTAGGTACTTCTCGGGCGATAGAAAAAGTTGAGTTTTGTCTGGTCTCTCGACAAACAACAATTTATTCTTCGAGTCTCTTGTCCACAACAGTAGATTTTCTACCAGCAATTCATGATCCTCGTATACCCTCTCTGCAAATAGCATTAAAATGAAAATTTTCTTTTTTTTAACTTTAAACAAGAGGTAAAGTAGCACTGATAAATTATGCTAAACTCGAATAAAAGTTTACCCATAAAAAGCTCAGGCAGATGCTCAACGACAGCCCACTTTGGATCCATCGCAACGTGGTTCTTATCTGCTAATAATCTACAAACATGAGCGACACTCATTCCTTCGTCGACAAGAAGACTTTTTCCGCTTCCATCCAATGTGAAAGCTTTGATGAAAAGTTTTTGAACACTGGCTTCCCGCATTTTCTCCAGTGCTAATCGGATTTTTTCAGCTTTAGCTCTACTTGCTGCATCTAAAAAATTAAAAAAAAAAAAATTACAATTTTGATCATAAAAATTGCTTTTAATATTGTTAAAATTTATCAGTCAAGTAAATTTACCCATTAACTGATGTGATTGCTGTTGGGGTGCCGTGTGCATGACGGTCTGAGGTGGCTTGTGTCCTGAACCACTGCTGCTTGCTGAGCTCTCGCTTGACAACATCGACACCGTGTCCGAGAAGGCACTATCATTATCGGGACTATCGGTGCGCATACCTTTAAAGCAATAAAATAAAATAATAAATAAAAAATAGAGCAAAAAATAGTGATGGTAATGGTAATGAGATAGATCATTAACAAGTGCAATGAATTGAAAACTCAACAATGGCAATTATTAAATAAACTTCAAGCAAAATACAGTGACGATGCTCCATTATAAATAATAAATGCAAATACAATAATACCTCCGTCAGTTTTTCCAATGTCATTGTTGTCTCCAGTGTTGATTCTTCCACTGTTAGGTCTTCCAGTTCGTTGCGTATCTGGCGCCGGAGTAGAAGCAATGTCCCCATCACATCGTCTCTCCAACGCGCATAGTTCCCCGAGGATCGCGTCCAAGTCAACATCTTGGGAGTCTGTAAAACAAACGATATTGCTGTTAGACATCACGTAATCTAGACGCGAGTTGAATTTCATTTATATAATATAATCTAATATAATAATATTGTCAAACAAGCAAATACACTGACACTGATCATGATGAGTAAGAAATAAAATAAAATACAGTGAAATTATAGGAGTAATTAATACCGACGATTTATCACTTATGATGAAAAGTTTGTTAAAGAATTTATGACACATGTAGTTAAACCAGTTTTACATTAATGAGTTGGGCATTTCTTCCATGGGCTATCAAATGAACTAGAAATACTACACATAATTATTGGCTTGCTGCCGCAAACTCGTATAACATAAAATACCAGATTTTCTTCTCTCTTTTTGTAAATATATATACACTCTCGTTCTCATTGCAAGTTTGCTGTTGCTTAAATGAAATAATCATTTTGTTAATTTATTACCATTCGTACTCATATGGAGCGTGTATAAATTATTGATGTGTGTATACATATATTTATATGCTGAACGAAAACAATTAATCGAGTACCAACTCGAATATCCCTATAGATGATATCTATTACACGTTATCAAATTAATTTCCTCATTTCAAGCTATAGCTACAGCCGTGAGTAAACAGTTTTGCATTAACGGGCTGTTGAATCAATAAATTATATTTTCACGTAACGTTGTTTTATGCCTTAATTTTGTTATTACTATTATTACATTTTGTAATATTTTCTGATTGAATATATGATAATATTATTTGCCAATTTTAAAGTAAAAAAAATATCAATAATCGGATATTCTATAGAAATTTATTGAATAGATGGAACGTGTTGTGTATACAACAGATATCGTAGTCGCTTCAGTCGGTAAGTTAATTAACGAAATTTACTTTAAAACAGTATTTATTTGAAACTTTTTTTATTTAACGGCGTAAAGCTATTTTTTTTTCCGAAACTAATATATTTTTATAATACACGGTAGCAAAATTAATTTACCGTGTTTTAATGAAAGTTGAAGAGAAATTTAAAATGAATAAATAAATTGAATGAAAATAGATGAAAGTAAATTCGAGCTTTGATGTCGATTGCGTTTGAATGATGATTTTCTCTGATGCAAAAATTTAAATGGATTCGTACATACACAGTAGTATAGAGCATGTGTAATTTTATTATATACAATGCGATGATATGATAGAATTTTTCAGTCGATAATGTTTTAATGTCAATGTTTTATGGCCAAATATTTAGAGTAAAATAGAGGATCTAATGGGAGTGAAATGACAAAGAAGGAGAGATTGAAATTTATTACTGGACATAGCACGTTTAACACGAGTTGCAAAATGAGCTGGAAGTGAAGGCGTTTAATTTCATTGAGTTTGCAAACGTGCTCTGGGCATTCGGGTTTAACTGACTAGTGTATAAGTAGAGCGTGGGTTTAAACTTATAACGCTTCCACTTTACTACACATATCAAACATGTAATTCGCATAATATCCGAAGATAAAGTCTCTTCTGGGTGTATTTTAGAGTAAAGTTGATATGAGGCTATCCACTCTTCATACTTCATACATCCATCTATTTCAGCTCACTGAATTATCATCAATCATAATTCATGAGGATAAAAGTTGATGACTCAAAACTATGCAGATTAAATTAAATCATATAGTATTATAATATAAACTATTGATAAAATTTATTCTCTGGGATATGATAATAAAATTAATACCTAATATCATATACATATTATACTGCGGACCCAGAAAGTCAGCTATTTTTTTTTTAGAGATATTTTAAAATATTGCACACAGAAAAAAATGTTTATTTAAACCAAAAAATTTTTTATAGAAAGACTTAAGTCGTTTTAGAGCGAGAAGGAATTTTATTGAGAAAAATTTTTTTTTCTTGATTTTCTTGATTTATTTAAAAAAAAAATTTTTTTCTTTGAAATTTTGAATTGTTAAATTAAAATAGTTGAAAGTCGTACATTATTAAAGAACATTTAATGTTCCATTAAAAAGTCTGATTCATTTCTATATCATGACAAACAATTATCTTTTTTTTTTTTGATAATTTTATTCTAAATTTAGAATTTTTTAATTAAACAAAAAAAAAGTCTACATTTTTTGATAAAATTTTTCCTTTAAATATTATTCAACCAGAAAATTTATTATAGATCCAACTTTAAAATTGAATAATATTTGAAGAAGTAAATTCATAAAAAAATGTAGAGAGATTTATTGTAGTATAAAATTTTGTTCAACGCCGTTTTTAGCTTTTTTTTTCAATTTTTTTCAATGAATAATACGAGTTCAACAATATTTACAGTATATGTTTGGAACAAAAAAGAAATCAATTTTGTTTAATATTTGTATTATAAATTAATGCAATTATTTTTCCTATTTAATAATATCACTCTTTTTGATCTTAATAAATACTTATATTAAGCATATCCGCGACAATACGATGACGATTTCGAGTTGGAATGCGAGATAACTCGAGAGAATGGTTAGCGGTGATGTGACAACAGAGAAATGTCAGTGGCATTCATATTAATAGTTAAGTTAAACTATTGTAATCAGGTGAATGTTTAATTCTTCTCAATTAGTTAACAACTTCTTTTTAGATTCATTAATCTAAATAATTATTCAGTTATCTGTTTACTCTATAATTTAATAAACTTTGTTGCCGGTATAAGACGGTTATTAATAGAAAACATCAATTTAAAAATAAATTTTCAGTGTTTACCGCTATGTATGACAAATAGACGGTATAATTAAGTAGAGGGAGTAGTTTACATTAGTATAGCTCGATTCTTTTAAATGAAAATTCAAGAATAACATAAAAAAAGTTTGGTTTGTATTCTCCAGACGTTCTTCGACTGGCAGTAGGCTATCGTGAGTCACCACAGGTTGTCTGATGTATGGTTATAACGCGTTTCTGTTCTACAATTACGTCGACGACTCCTAGTGACAAGGAACGAGTAAATGTTTTACTTTTTGCTATACTTCAGTATAATATAAGCAAGGCCTATATATAAATACAAATGTGCACGGGTTTTACCCACAACACTACATGTTTTAATATATCTAACTAACAGAAGAAGATATTAGCTAAAGAAGTCGTCAGCTTAAATTTTATTTTTTTTACATTTTACACGAGACTATCAGATAATTTTTTTTACAATCTTATTTATATTTCAGTACTACAGTCAAATAAAACAATAATGATAAAAATCTAATCAATGTGATGTATACCTATGGGCTTAACAGAATAATAGCCAAGTATACTCTCGTTACCAAAGTAACCAAGCATTTTCGAGTGATTGATTTGTATCAAAGCTGGTTTGCACTACCCAACTGCTGCACTAACAAATCGAATGCAATACCAACAGCCAACTCTTGTCGTTCCGTGGCACAAAGGACCATCGAAAGCTATAGATACCATTAAACTCGTGATCAAAGCATCCAAGTGTAAAACTTTTATCCCAACATCCGTATTCGCCTCGTATCTCTGTTGGACAATCTTGATATTAATTTTATTTTATTCCATATATCTTCACACCTTACACTTCACGTCATAGTAGTAAAAATGTTTCACCTCTTTTCTTCTCACAAACTTCAATCACACGAATTAAAATCTTATCATATCAATCTCTACGTACACATGTATGTACAAAAAACAGAAAAAAGCAAACAAACATACTTGCGTCAATTTGATAAAAATAATTTTTTTTCTTTTTTTATATAAAACAAATACTGAATTTGATTATTTTTTTAAGGAGGAACTGAATGAGGCGCGATGTTAGTGGCGCGTGCGATCAAACTCGACTAAAGGCCTAAAAGGTAAGAGTCCCCCGGCTTCTCAACTTGTGTTTTCCATGCGCCTTCATATGTATGTATGTATGTATGTTTATATATCATGGACATTCATGTGTGTACGGCTCATCAGTGAACGCGTTCTACACAGCTCTACAGTTAAATTGCACTTATGTTTAAGTGAATGTCTTAAACTAACATATTCAAGAATTGTTTTTGCTTAAGTTCTTACTGTACACAAATTTCCATACAAATTGAATTTTATTTTAACTAACGTGACTGTGAACTCTAAAATTCATATAGTACCTGATGTGAGTTTAGATTTTAATAATTATTCTAATAATTTAAATTCTAACAAGTCCGTGTTTTACACGTGAGATAAAACCGTATTTAGATGAATATAAGTCATTATCGGTAAGAAAATTAATTACGATGTCTAATATATACGCTCAATACAATAAGGACTCAAGTTTATTGATATTAGTTGAGTAACTTTTAATTGTAAATAGAAAACAGTGTTGCTCATAAGTACTCTATTAGTGAGGAAGTGGATTAACGCATTTTAATTAAACGTCATTGTTATAGAAATGTAAGAAAAAAATGATGCATTTAGAACAATACTATGACGTACAAAAATTGTTGTTGATTTAAATGCAAGCGGTTATTGATACTAAATAAGGTCGGTGATCTATTTGACAATTGTGTAAATCGAACTGTTTAATGACCTCAGTTTTATGGAGAAAAAATACCGTGTGTAATTTTTTTATAATTTTTATTCTATTTATTTATGAACTAATATTCACTTATAGTACTTTTATGAATTATAACTAAAAACTATGATACTCTATAGTAAATGGTTTAAGTTTTAAAGCAGCTATTTTAGAAACAATGGAAAAAATAAAAATAAATATATTATAAATTTTTTTGGCTACTCAGTCCTGAATTAAAAATTAATAAATAATAATCAATAAGTAGCATCCTTCAAACTCTCAATATACTCCTGCATGCATGTAATTAAAGTTTTAAAAAACATTTTTTTTTACTCTTGTTGAACTTATTAACTGTCAATTTGTTACAAAAATAATGAAAACGTCTTAATTAATTCAACATTAATTAAAATTTTGATTAAAAAGGTTGATAAAAAACGATAATTATATTCAAATTTTTTATCACGATAAAAAGAAATACGTAGTAAATCTAATTGAGTGGGAGTGTTGAAAATATATTTAGAATACTTTAAAATGACTTGTGATGAGGGG